TCGCTCAACACGCAGCCTCAACTCACAGTGAAGCTCGCTCACTCACCACAGGCAGCAGTATTGGTGGTGGTGGTGAGCATGGTGGTGTTGATGTGAGGTATAGTGGTGTGGTGGTGAGGCAGTAGTAATAGCGGTAGTTGTTATAGTGGTGGTTGTTGTTGTAGTTGTGGTGTTGTTCTTATTGTAAATGTTGTAGTTGTTGTCGTAGTTGTTGTCGTGGTTGTATGTTGTAGTGGTTGTAGTTGTTGTAGTGGTTGTAGTTTCAGCGTAGTCGCCCCGTGCCCCCCCCCCCCCCCCGTCAGGCTGAACCTGGAGGAAGGCGACGGTGCGTGGTGCGCCGACGGCCCCGTGACGCCGCAGCACTCGCAGTTCCTGCAGTGGACCTGCGGCGTCTCCACGTGGTCCGCTCGCTCGGCACGCAGGGTCGCCACGGCAACGGCCTCGGCAACGAGTTCGCCAGGCCTACCGCCTCGAGTACAGCCGCGACGCGCACCCGATGGCTGCCGTGGAGGGACCGCCGCGGCAACCAGCGAGGGTCCCCTTAGCAACGGAGGAGCCCCGTGGCACGGGGCGAGGGGTCCCCTTAGCAACGGAGGAGCCCCGTGGCGACGGGGAGGGTCCCCTTAGCAACGGAGGAGCCCCGTGGCGACGAGGCGAGGGTCCCCTTAGCAACGGAGGAGCCCCGTGGCGACGAGGCGAGGGTCCCCTTAGCAACGGAGGAGCCCTGGCGACGAGGCGAGGGTCCCCTTAGCAACGGAGGAGCCCCGTGGTGACGGGGCGAGGGTCCCCTTAGCGACGGAGGAGCCCCGTGGTGACGGGGCGAGGGTCCCCTTAGCGACGGAGGAGCCCCATGGCGACGAGGCGAGGGGTCCCCTTAGCAACGGAGGAGCCCCGTGGCAACCAGGCGAGGGTCCCCTTAGCGACGGAGGAGCTCCGTGGCGACGAGGCGAGGGGTCCCCTTAGCAACGGAGGAGCCCAAAGCAAATAGCCGCTGCCCATAGACTCAACACTGCCCATAGACTCAACACTGCCCATAGACTCAACACTGCCCATAGACTCAACACTGCCCATAGACTCAACACTGACCCATATACTCAACACTGCCCATAGACTCAACACTGCACATAGACTCAACACTGCCCATAGACTCAACACTGCCCATAGACTCAACACTGCCCATAGACTCAACACTGCACATAGACTCAACACTACCCATAGACTCAACACTGCCCATAGACTCAACACTACCCTAGACTCAACACTACCCATAGACTCAACACTGCCCATAGACTCAACACTGCCCATAGACTCAACACTGCCCGTAGACTCAACACTACCCGTAGACTCAACACTACCCATAGACTCAACACTACCCATAGACTCAACACTGCCCAAAGACTCAACACTGCCCATAGACTCAACCACTGGCCCATACGACTCAACACTAGACCATAGACCTCACCACTACCCATAGACTCAACACTGACCCAATAGACTCAACACTACCGTAGACTCAAGCACTACCCATAGATCTCAACCATACCCATGAGACTCACACTACCCGTAGGACTCACACACCTACCCATAGACCATCAACACTACCCATAGACTCCAACACTGCCCATCAGCCTCAACACTACCCATAGACTCCACATGCCCATAGACTCAACACTACCCGTAGGACTCAACACTACCCATGCACTCAACACTGCCCGTAGACTCAACACTACCCGTAGGACTCAACACCTCTACCCATAGACTCAACACTGCACTTCACATACGCTCCAGGTGGCGTGGGGGGTGGTTCCCTGCGCGTTGCCCCGTGCTTTAGCCAGTCATCTCAGTCAGTCGACCCGTGGCACCTGCTGGGTCTGCCCCGTGACCTCCTGCCAGCGGGCGTTCGACACTTCACGTGGCCTCAAGGTGCACTTGGCCTGGCACATGCGTCGTGGTGACGTCACTGCCACTTAGTGGCGAATGGCGGTTGTTGTTGTTGTTGTGCCCCGCAGGTGATCCAGGGCAACGTGAACACGCAGGACGTGGTGCTCAAGGACCTGGGGCCCGCCCTCGTGGCGCGCTTCGTGCGCTTCGTCGCCGTCACCGACCGCGCCATGAGCGTGTGCATGCGCGTGGAGCTCTACGGCTGCCCCTGGGCTGGTGGGGCCTGACCCCCCCCTCGACCCCCCCCACCCCACACCCCCAAACACCCCCCACACCAACCCGCCCCCCCCCACCCCCAACCCCAACACCCTCCCACTCCCCCCACACCAACCCGCCCCCCCACCCCCAACCCCAACACCCTCCCACTCCCCCCACACCAACCCGCCCCCCCCACCCCCAACCCCAACACCCTCCCACTCCCCCCACACCAACCCGCCCCCCCCCACTAACTTTCCCCCCAGCACTGAAACCCCAACCCTCAACCGCCCCCCCCCCCCCCCCACGGGGCCCGTCCTCCCCCGGCTCCCCGTGTCTCACCCCGTGTCTCTCCGTGTCTCTCTCCGTGTTTCTTTGTGTCTCTCCCCGTGTCTCTCCCCGTGTGTCTCCCCGTGTCTCACTCCGTGTTTCTCCGTGTCTCTCCCCGTGTGTCTCCCCGTGTGTCTCCCCGTGTCTCTCCGTGTGTCTCTCCGTGCGTCTCTCCGTGCGTCTCCCCGTGTCTTTCCCCGTGTGTCTCCGCGTGTCTCTCCCCGTGTGTCTCCCCGTGTGTCTCCCCCCGTGTGTCTCTCCGTGTCTCTCCCCGTGTGTCTCCCCCCGTGTCTCTCCGTGTGTCTCCGTGTGTCTCTCTGTGTCTCACCCCGTGTCTCTCTCCGTGTGTCTCACCCCGTGTGTCTCTCCGTGTGTCTCTGCGTGTGTCTCCCCGTGCGTCACCCAGACGGGCTCGTCTCCTACTCGGCCCCCGAGGGAGAGACGCTCCTCCTGCCCTCCCTGGCGCCCGCCAACCTCAACGACTCCACCTACGACGGCTTCATCGCCTCCCGGTGAGGCCGCCACCCGTGGTGGACACTCACTCACTCACTCACCCACTCACCCACTTACACACTCACCCACTCACTCACACACTCACTCACCCACTCACTCACTCACCCACTCACTCATACACTCACTCACTCTCCCACTTACACACTCACTCACCCACTTACACACTCACTCATACACTCACTCACTCACCCACTCACTCACTCACCCACTCACCCACGCACTCACTAATTCACACACTCACTCACACACTCACTCATATACTCACTCACTCACCCTCCTCACTCACTCACCCACTCACTCACTCACCCACTTACACACTCACTCATACACTCACTCACCCACTCACACACTCACTCACCCACTCACTCACTCACTCATGCACTCACTCACTCATGCACTCACTCACCCACTCACTCACTCACCCACCCACTCACTCACTCACCCACCCACTCACTCACTCACCCACTCACTCACTCACCCACTCACTCACTCACTCACCCACTCACACACTCACACTCACTCACACTCACTCACACTTACTCACTCACTCACTCACTCACACTCACTCACTCACTAACACTCACTCACCCACTCACTCACCCACTCACTCACTCACCCACTCACTCCCTCACTCACACTCCCTCACTCACTCACACTCACTCAATCTCACTCACTCACTCACCCACTCACTCACTCACCCAATCACCCACCCACTCACACACTCACTCACATTTACTCACTCACTCACTCACACCACTCACTCACTCACTCACACTCACTCACTCACCCACTCACTCACACTCACTCACTCACTCACCCACTCACTCACTCACATTTACTCACTCACTCACTCACACCACTCACTCACCCACTCACTCACTCACTCACACTCACTCTCTCACCAACTCACTCACTCACTCACTCACCCTCTCACCAACTCACCCCCCCCCACTCACTCACCTCGCTCACCAACTCACTCACCCACTCACTCACCCTCTCACCAACTCACTCACCCACTCACTCACTCACCCTCTCACCAACTCACTCACCCACTCACTCACAATCTCACCAACTCACCCACCCACTCACACACTCACTCACATTTACTCACACACTCACCCACTCACTCACTCACACCACAGTGGTGAACACTCACACACACCACGTGTCTCTCTGTCTCCGCGTGCGTCTCTATCTGTGTCTCCGCGTGTCTCTCTGTCTCCGCGTGCGTCTCTATCTGTCTCCGCGTGCGTCTCTATCTGTGTCTCCGCGTGTCTCTCTGTCTCCGCGTGCGTCTCTATCTGTGTCTCCGCGTGTCTCTCTGTCTCCCTGTGTCCCCCAGGCAGATGTACGGCGGCCTGGGCCAGCTGACGGACGGCGTCTGGGGCCTGGACGACTTTGCGCTGAGCCCCGAGCACCGCGTGTGGCCGGGCTACGACTACGTGGGCTGGAGCAACGGCAGCCTCAGCCTGCCCTACCTCCTCATGCACTTCGAGTTCGACGAGCCAAGGAACTTCTCGGCCATGAAGGTGCCACCCGCACCCCCCTCCTCCATCATCACCCCCACCGCCATCACACCTCACCACCCTCCCCCCGTGCCCCCCTTCCCACACATCCTCCCTAACCCCCACCCGCCCCCCCCCCTCATCCTTATTCACCACCCCCCCCCCCTCCCGTGCCCCCCCCTCTCCTTGTCCCCCCACCCCCCATCACACTTCACCACCCTCCCCCCGTGCCCCTCCCCTTCTCACTATCCCCCCGTGCCCCCCCCCCCAACATCATCCCTAACCCCCACCGGTCCCCCCCCCCCCCTCATCCTCCCTCACCCCCCCCCGTGTCCCCCCCTCTCCTTGTCCCCCCCCCACGTGTCCCCCCTTCTCCTCATCTCCCCCCCTCCTCCCACCACGTCACCCCCCCCACCTCCCCTCCCCCCACGTGTCCCCCTTCTCATCTCCCCCCCTCCTCCCTCCACGTCACCCCCCACCTCCCCCCCCCCGCGTCCCCCCCCCCCCGCGTCCCCCCCCCCCCGCGTGCCCCCGACAGGTCCACTGCAACAACATGTTCCAGAGCGGCGTGCAGACTTTCCGCGAGGCGCGCTGCTTCTTCCGCCGCTCCGACAGCGACGAGTGGGAGGGCGGCGGCGGCGGTGACGACGGTGGCGGTGGTGGTGGCGGTGAGGGCGGCGGTGGTGGCGGTGAGGGTGGTGGTGGTGGCGGTGGTGGGGGTGGTGGTGGTGGAGAGGACGTGGGCGTGGGGCTGGTGGTGGAGCCGGACACGGTGGACCCGCGCGCACGCTTCATCACCGTCCCGCTGGGCCAGCGCAACGCCATCGCCATCAAGTGCCACTTCTACCTGGGAGCCGCGTGGCTCCTCATCAGCGAGATCTCGTTCCACTCGGGTGGGTGCCGACGGGGAGGATGGCAGTTGGCGCGCGTGCAAGGGCGAGTGGGTGGGGTGAGCGAGTGGGTGGGTTGAGTGGGTGGGTTGAGCGAGTGGGTGAGTGAGCGAGTTGGTGGATGAGCTAGTGAGTGGGTGAGCTAGTGAGTGGGTGGGTGAGTGTCTGAGCTAGTGAGTGAGTGGATGAGCTAGTGAGTGGGTGGGTGAGTGTATGAGTGGGTAAGCTTGTGAGTGGGTGGGTGAGTGGATGAGTGGGTGAGCTAGTGAGTGGGTGGGTGAGTGGATGAGTGGGTGAGCTAGTGAGTGGGTGGGTGAGTGTCTGAGCTAGTGAGTGAGTGGATGAGTGAGTGGATGAGCTGGTGAGTGGATGAGTGGGTGAGTGAGTGGGTGGCTGAGTGGGTGGTTGAGTGGGTGGATGAGCTAGTGAGTGGGTGGGTGAGTGTCTGAGCTAGTGAGTGAGTGGATGAGTGAGTGGATGAGCTGGTGAGTGGATGAGTGGGTGAGTGAGTGGGTGGTTGAGTGGGTGGGTGAGTGAGTGGATGAGCTAGTGAGTGGGTGAGTGAGTGAGTGGATGAGTAGTTGAGCTTGTGAGTGGGTGGGTGAGTGAGCGAGTGAGCGGGTGACCCTGGAGGGCATCAGTCTGCCAGTAGTAGGGCGGACAATGATTGCTGCTGAGTCGTCTCGCCTAGGGGCACCCCCAGCGGCAGCTGTCCCTGTGCACTACTCTGCCAGTACTAGGGGGGGGAGGGGACGATGATTGCTGCAGGGGTCACGCTGCGCCACCTCGTGTCCGTGACCGGTACTGACCTCACGTCCCCCCCCCTCCCCCCTCCCCACAGACCGGAGCCAGGAGCCCGTGTCACGAGCCCCGCCCCCTCCCACCCCGCCGAGGGGGGGGGCCCGCAGCCCCCCACCGCCCCCACCGCCCGCCCCACCAGGGGGGGGCGCCCCGCCCCCACCGCCCCCCTCTGGCACGCGCGGGCCGGAGGTCACCAGCCGCGCACACGGTGAGCGGCGCTCCACGTCCGTGGAGGTTCAGTCGGCCCATCATCAACGCTCGCTACAGGGGAAGGCGGTGGTGGGGGGGGGGGTCGATAAAATGGGTGACCACTTTGCGTGGGGAAGATCTAATAATGATAATGACGATTCAGGCTTTAATTTTTGGTTCTTTCGGTAAATTCACGTAGATAGAAAAATAATAAGAAAAAATTTAAGTGAATTAATTTGTACTTTAATTCACTTTATTAAATGATAGAAACTAAGTGAATAAAGTGTTGTATTCACCTTATGAAAAAAAAAGTGAATAATTTTTTACTTTTATTCACTTTATTAAATAATAAATAATATAAATAAACGTCGCGCTGCTCAGATTGTGAATGTCGCGGCTCGGCTCTCCAGCCCCCCAACGGCGGCGCTGTGTTCGCGACGAATTGGCAACGTCCTGTTCACGTGACACAAGCCTTGCCGATTGGCTGTGTCGGGTGGTGGCGGGCTTGACGACACAACGTTCCGATTTAAAGCTTTCGTGACTGCAGGGATTCATCTTCTTGGTTCTTTCGGTAAAGTCACGTAGAAGGGAAGTAATAAAATAATAAAAATAAAACATAATAATTCTCACGACGTTTCGGCCACAACGCAAGCAGCCGTCCTCAGGTGCAGCAGCCGTCCTCAGGTGAGGCCCTCAGGTGAGGACGGCTGCTTGCGTTGTGGCCGAAACGTCGTGAGAATTATTATGTTTTATTTGTATTATTTCATTACTTCCCTTCTATGTGACTTTACCAAAAGAACCAAGAAGACACAACGTTTTTCTATATCTCTACGCGATCTAACAAACTGCCCCGCGGGTGCGAGCTCAGCAGGCACGAGGGTGCCGGGGGCCCCGGGGGCCACGCTGTCCGGGAGGCCCATGGACACGGCCGACGAGAGAGCGCCCGTGCTGGTCGCCTGCCTCGTCGCCATCATCCTCCTCCTCGTCGTCATCATCGCACTCATCCTCTGGCGGCACAACTGGAGGAAGCTCCTCGAGAAGGTGGGAACCCAATGGCAACAACGGCCAGCAACAATCAGCACCGTCAACGTTTTTTTTCACTTTTCTTCTTGTTTACTAAGCGGCTGAGCGTTGCACGTAGGCACCAGAGGTCACGTGAACGGCCAGCAACAATCAGCACCGTCAAAGTTTTTTTTTACTTTTCTTCTTGTTTACTAAGCGGCTGAGCGTTGCGCGTAGGCACCAGATGTCACGTGAACGGCCAGCAACAATCAGCACCGTCAAAGTTTTTTTCTTCTTGTTTACTAAGCGGCTGAGCGTTGCGCGTAGGCACCAGATGTCACGTGAACGGCCAGCAACAATCAGCACCGTCAAATGTTTTTTTCTTCTTGTTTACTAAGCGGCTGAGCGTTGCACGTAGGCACCAGAGGTCACGTGAACGGCCAGCAACAATCAGCACCGTCAAAGTTTTTTTCTTCTTGTTTACTAAGCGGCTGACCGTTGCACGTAGGCACTAGAGGTCACGTGAACGGCCAGCAACAATCAGCACCGTCAAACGTTTTTTTCTTCTTGTTTACTAAGCGGCTGACCGTTGCACGTAGGCACTAGAGGTCACGTGAACGGCCAGCAACAATCAGCACCTTCAACGTTTTTTTTCACTTTTCTTCTTGTTTACTAAGCGGCTGAGCGTTGCACGTAGGCACCAGAGGTCACGTGAACGGCCAGCAACAATCAGCACCGTCAAATGTTTTTTTCTTCTTGTTTACTAAGCGGCTGAGCGTTGCACGTAGGCACCAGAGGTCACGTGAACGGCCAGCAACAATCAGCACCGTCAAAGTTTTTTTCTTCTTGTTTACTAAGCGGCTGACCGTTGCACGTAGGCACTAGAGGTCACGTGAACGGCCAGCAACAATCAGCACCGTCAACGTTTTTTTTCACTTTTCTTCTTGTTTACTAAGCGGCTGAGCGTTGCACGTAGGCAACCAGAGGTCACGCGAACGGTCAGCAACAATCAGCACCATCATTGTTTTTACACCCAGTCGCTGAGCGTTGCGCGTAGGGACCAGAGGTCACGCGAACGTCAAAAACGGCCGGCAACAATCAGCCCCCCCCCTCTCCACGCCCCCCTCCCCCCTGCTCCCCGCAGGCCCCGCGCGCCATGCTGGAGGACGGCATTACGGTGCGTCTGTCGGTGCCGTGCGACACGGTGATGTTCAACGGGCGCTCGCTGCAGCGCGCCGGCTCGGCCCTGCCGCAGACGAAGCCGCCGCCGGCGCTGCCACCCGGCTACCGCGAGCCGGGCACGCGGCCCACACGCCGCCTGCTGCACGCGGAGCGCACACTCGAGCGCGCCGAGGGCGGCGGTGCGTGGTGGTGGTGCTTGGTGGTCGTGGTTGTGGTGGTGGTCGTGGTGGTGCTTGTGGTGGTGGTTGTGGTGGTGGTGCTTGTGGTGGTCGTGATGGTGGTGGTGGTGGTGCTTGGTGGTCGTGGTGGTGGTGGTGGTCGTGGTGGTGCTTGTGGTGGTCGTGGTGGTGGTGGTGGTCGTGGTGGTGGTCTTGGTGGTAGTTGTGGTGGTTGTGGTGGTGGTCGTGGTGGTCGTGGTGGTGGTTGGTGGCGGTCGTGGTGGTGGTGGGGGTCGTGGTGGTGGTCATGGTGGTTGTGGTGGCGGTTGTGGTGGTGGCCGTGGTGGTGGTGGTTGTGGTAGTGGTGGTGGTTGTGGTGGTGGTGGTGGTAGTGGTGGTGGTTGTGGTAGTGGTGGTGGTCGTGGTGGTGGTGGTGGTGTCGCGCTGCGTTACAAACCCAGCGACCCGAGTTCGATTCCTGCTCACGGCCACCAACACCTGTAACGATTACCCAAACTGGTCCCCCGTGCTGAGACCCCCACGTGGTGAGACCACGTGCTGAGACCCCCACGTGCTGCGTGTTGCAGGCTGCGGGGACTACGCGGAACCGGAGCTGCCGCTGTTCGACGGCGCCCAGCACTACGCCGTGGCCGACATCCTGGACATGCAGGTACTCGCGCAGGCAAAGGTCCCCCGCGTAGCCTCCGATGGGCCGTCGGGGCAAGTGCAGCGTCGCGCCCGGCCGCCTTTGTCTCCCCGGCGGCGATGTTTACCGCGCACCGCCACCGGGTGCTCATTTGAGGCCGAGTCGACCTAGGGGAGGCCCAGGGGGGCGGTGCACTGCACGTGGCGTGGGCTCTGACCCAGCGACGTCCAGGGTTGGTGGATCACCGCTCGGATTTCGTGACGCTCCCTTCCCGGGGCCGGGAACACCTCGATAGGTCGAGGGCGGCAGAGCTTGGGGCAATCGGTGGTGGTGCCGGCTGCTGCTGCTGCTGCTGCTGTTGCTGTTGTTGCTGCTGTTGCTGCTGCTGTTGCTGCTGTTGCTGTTGCTGCTGCTGTTGCTGCTGCTGCGGCTGTTGCTGCTGCTGCTGCTGTTGCTGTTGCTGCTGTTGCTGTTGCTGCTGCTGTTGCTGCTGTTGCTGTTGCTGCTGCTGTTGCTGTTGCTGCTGCTGTTGCTGCTGCTGCGGCTGTTGCTGCTGCTGTTGCTGCTGCTGCTGTTGCTGCTGTTGCTGCTGCTGCTGTTGCTGCTGTTGCTGTTGCTGCTGCTGCTGTTGCTGCTGCTGCTGCTGTTGCTGCTGCTGCTGTTGCTGCTGCTGCTGTTGCTGCTGCTGCTGTTGCTGCTGCTGTTGCTGCTGCTGCTGTTGCTGCTGTTGCGGCTGCTGTTGCTGCTGCTGTTGCTGCTGCTGCTGCTGCTGTTGCTGTTGCTGCTGCTGCTGTTGCTGCTGTTGCGGCTGCTGTTGCTGCTGCTGCTGTTGCTGCTGCTGTTGCTGCTGCTGCTGTTGCTGCTGCTGCTGCGTTCGCACTCCTCGTCTGTGTCTCCTGCTCCTCCCTCTCCGAGTCGTGATGATGTTGTTGATGTTGATGATGTTGATGGTGTTGATGGTGTCGTTAATGTTGATGATGTTGATGATGTTTTTACTGTTGATGCTGTTGATGGTGTCGTTCATGTTGATGTTGTCGATGATCATGACGTTGATGTTAATGTTGTTGATGTTGTTAATGTTGTGGTTAATGTTGTTGTTAATGTTGATGCTGTTGTAGTAAATGTTGATTTTGTTGATGATGTTGTTGTTGTTGTTAATGATATTGATGATGTTCATGCTGCCGTTAATTTTGATGTTGTTGATGTTGATGCTGTTGATGTTGTCATTCATGCTGTTGATGCTGCCGATGTTGCTTGTCGATGTTGTTGTTGTTGTTGTTGTCGCCGTTGTGTCGCCAGGGCGTGACGGGCAGCAGCGCCTACGCCGTCCCCGCGGTGCCGGGAGACGCGGCGGCGGCGGTGCCCCTGGGCCACCACGAGGTGCCGCCGGGCCACCGCGGCGTGGCGCGCCTTCTGGAGGTGCCGCGCGAGACGCTGCGCGTGCGGGAGAAGCTGGGGGAGGGGCAGTTCGGAGAGGTGAGACAACGTCACCGCTGGGACAGAGACAACGGGGCCGCTGAGACATGGGGGAGACAATGGGGAGACAACGTCACCGCTGGGACAGAGACAACGTCACCGCTGGGACAGAGACAACGGGGCCGCTGGGACATGGGGAGACAATGGCACTGGGACACGGGACACTGAGACATGGGACATGATGATGACGATGATGTGGTGTTCATTGTGGTTGTGTGATGATGACGTTGATGATGACAATGACGACGACGACGATGACGACGACGATGATGACGACGACGACGGTGACGATGACGACGACGGTGACGATGACGACGACGGTGACGATGATGACGATGACGACGACGATGATGATGCCGATGACGACGATGACGACAACAGTGACGATGATGACGACGACGGTGACGACGACGACGATGACGACGTGCCGCTCTGGTCGTGTGCCCAGGTGCTGCTGTGCGAGGCCGTGGGGCTGCCGCGGTGCATGGACGACGACGACGAGGTGGAGGTGGGGGAGGAGGAAAGCGACGAGGGGGGCACGAGGGGGGGGCCGCAGCAGCCCACACTCGTGGCTGTCAAGATGCTGCGGGAAGACGCCTCCAGCAGCGCCAGGTGAGCGTGCGTGTGTGTCGCCTGTGTGTGTGTCTGTGTGTGTGTCTGTGTGTCTTAAAGCGGTAGTGTCGCGATTGGCGCCCTGCGCTACGAACCCGGCGACCCGAGTTCAATTCCCGCTCATGGCCAACACCAGTAACGATTATCTGAACCGGTCTTGGGCCTCGCCTAGGTCGACTCAGCCTCAAATAAGTACCCAGTGCGGTGCGTAAACATCGCCACTGGGGAGACAAAGGCGGCCGAGCGTGATGCTGGCCTCCCACCCCCTCGTGTACCACAGTACCGGTAGCCTTCATAGGCGCTGCTCGCTAACGGCGCCTGCCCCAACAGTCCGTTGAGGCTACGTGGGGGGGGGGTCTCTGCGTGCGTCAGGAGCGACTTCCTGAAGGAGATCAAGACGATGTCGCGGCTGCGCGACGCTCACGTCGTGCGACTCGTGGGCGTGTGCCTGCGCGACGAGCCGCTCTGCATGCTCGCCGAGTACATGGAGAACGGAGACCTGCACCACTTCCTGTCGGCACACCGCTGGGAGGGACAGGGCCCCGGGCCCACGCTCAGGTAGCTCTCTCGCATCGCCTCGCCTCGCTCACCTGTACTGAGCTCGCTCGATCACTCACCTGTACTGAGCTAAGGTGATCTCACTCACGTGAACTGAGCTCAGGTGATCTCCCTCACTCACATGTACTGAGCTTAGGTGATCTCCCTCACTCGCCTACTCACCTGCGCTGACCTTTGGTGATCTCACTAGCGCACACTCGCTCACCTGAACCAATCTCAGGCAATCGCCCTCACTCACCTGTCCACCTGAACCGATCTCAGGCAATCTCCCTCACTCACTCGCTCACCTGAACCGATCTCAGGCGATCTCGCTCACTTTATCGCTCACTCACTCACCTGAACCTGGGGCAAGGTGTGGGATGAACCTGCTGGAGCTGTGGTGCCTCAAAAATATCGGAAGAAGTAGTCACCGCCCTCCGTGTGGCTCGCTGGAACCAGCAGTGTCGAGATCGGCCTCTGTGGAGGAGGAGGAGGCTCGTGAAGGACGCCGCTGGGCAGTTGGAGGCAGTCGCTCTGTAGCAACAACGGAGGGCAGAGACAGTCACAACCAGCGGAGCGCCGGGTGGTTAATACGCCGTGCGGAGCGCGTAGGTGCAGCGGCCAGTTATGCACGACGACGATGACGACGACAATGAAAGCGACGACGACGACGATGACGAATTATGACGACGACGGCGATCTCAACAAACACGTCCACGTCGACGTCTACTTAAACCTCGTGCTCTCTTTTAGCCCCGCCCCCCTCCCAATACGCTCCATTCATTGGCAACCACATTCTGATAAGCTCCCCCCACCTCCCCTCCCCCTTAACTTGTATTTAAGAACTTGCATCTTGGAATCCCTGCCTCACTTGATACAGCAAATCTGGCTGTGACGGTCTCACCTGATGACGGAGACTTGTGTTGCCTCTGAAACGTCGTGATTTTTATTATTTTATTTCTATTAATTTTAATTTCATTTTTTTACCTACGTGACTTTACCGAAAAAACTAAGAGTATCAGTCTATTAAGACTAGACGAGGGTGAGATTGGGGGGGGGGGCGGATCTTTGTGACCGCGTGCGTCTCCCGCGTGGCAGCGTGGTGGAGGTGCTGCTCATGGCCGTGCAGGTGGCCGCCGGCATGTCCTACCTGGCGTCGCTCAACTTCGTGCACCGCGACCTGGCGTCGCGAAACTGCCTCGTGGGGCCGGCGCACACCATCAAGATCGCCGACTTCGGCATGAGCCGTCACCTCTACAGCAGCGACTACTACCGCATCCAGGGCCGCGCCGTGCTGCCCATCCGCTGGATGGCCTGGGAGAGCGTGCTTCTGGTGTGTCCATACTTTGTGTGTGTCTATACTGTGTCTGCCTCGGTGTGTGTGTCCATACTGTGTGTGTCTATACTGTGTGTGTGTCTCTACTGTGTCTGCCTCGGTGTGTGTGTCTATACTGTGTGTGTCTCTGTGTGTGTGTCTATACTGTGTGTGTCACGGTGTGTGTGTCTATACTGTGTGTGTCTATACTGCGTGTGTGTCTATACTGTGTCTGCCTCGGTGTGTGTGTCTATACTGTGTGTGTCTATACTGTGTGTGTCTATATTGTGTGTGTCACGGTGTGTGTGTCTATACTGTGTGTGTGTCTCTACTGTGTGTGTCACGGTGTGTGTGTCTATACTGTGTGTGTCTATACTGTGTGTGTGTCTATACTGTGTCTGCCTCGGTGTGTGTGTCTATACTGTGTGTCTATACTGTGTGTGTGTCTATACTGTGTCTGCCTCGGTGTGTGTGTCTATACTGTGTGTGTCTATACAGTTTGTGTCTATATTGTGTGTGCCACTAGGTGTGTGTCCCTGTCCGTGCATGTCACTGCATATGTGTGTCTATGCTTTGTGTGTGTCACGGTGTGTGCCACCGATCTATCCCGGGTTTACGATCCGTCCTGGGTTTACCCAGCAGGTTGGATTGTGTGAGGAGCTCACAAATCCTTGAAAGATCTGGACACATTCCCATCGGTGAACTCCTCCGGCAGACAAGGCTGCTTTGGCTGGGTCATGTAGCCCGCATGCCCAGCCACCTCATGCCAAAGCAGTTTCTATTTGGTCACATAGAGGGGGACTAAACGGGCACGACATGGGCTGGAGAAGAGATGGAGCTGATGTGGTACAGGAGGATGTGGAGCTGAGGGGACTTACCGACGACTGGTACCAGCGGTGTCAAGATCGGCCTCTGTGAAGGAGGCTCTGCTGGGTCTGTCCCGTGACCTCCTGTCAGCGAGCCTTCAACAAAGTGCACTTATCCTGGCACAGGCGCCGTGGTAACGTCACCGTCACTTAGTGGAGAATAGCGGGTGTTGGTATTGGCCACCGGGGATTGGTGGCGTAGCAGTTAGCACGTTGCTCTACGAACTCGGCTACCCGATTTCGATTCCTGCTCATGGCCAACACCACTGACGATTATTTTAACGGGCCTGGGGCCTCCCCTAGGTCGACTCAGACTCAAATGAGTATCTGGTGCGGTGTGTCAACATCGCCGCTGGTGTTGGCCACCCACCTCTTCCCCACAGTGCCGCTACTTGCCGACAGCACTTTCCCTGCCTACAGTCTGTTAAAAGGCAACACGGGGGGATCTTTGTCTGGCACCGTGTCACCGCACAGGGCAAGTTCACGACGGGCTCGGACGTGTGGGCGTTTGGCGTCACGCTGTGGGAGCTGCTGTCGCTCTGCCAAGAGCAGCCGTACGGCGGCCTCACCGACGAGCTGGTCATCGAGAACGCCGGGGAGCTCTTCCGCGACAACGGCCGTCAGGTGCGCCCTCGTCGCTGGGCCTCGTCGCTGGGCCTTGTCACCAGACCTCCTCACCAGGTCTCATCATCAGGCCTCATCAATAGCTCTTCTCGCTAGGCCTCTTCGCTAGGCCTCCTCTCTTGGCTATGTTGTTAGGCCTCCCTGCTATCCCTCCTCACCAGGCCTCATCAAAAGCTCTTCTCGCTAGGCCTCTTCGCTAGGCCTTCTTGCTAGGCCCACTGAGCTATATAGCTATTTTTCAGAAGTGACCTGGCCACACATGATAGCTTAACAAAGTGGCTCATGTGGAAATGTATAGCAGCCAAATACTCTAAGCGCATGTTTTGAGTATTTGGCTTAAAACTGGAGGGTCCTCCTCGCTAGGCCTCCTCACTAGGCCTCACCAGGCCTCATCGCTAGGTCTTCTCACCAGGGCATCTCGCTAGGCCTCTGTGTTAGCCCTCTTCACCAGGCCTCATCAATAGCTCTCATCGCTAGGCCTTCTCGCCAGGTCCACTGAGCTATGTAGCTCTTTTTTCAGAAGCGACCTGGCCACAAATGAGCTGCAAACTGGGGGCCCGGAGAAAAATCCTCGTGACCATGGGGAAAAATGCAAACTCTAAATACACAGCAGGCCTCAGGGTCGGGATTGAACCCACGACCTCCTGTATACAAGGTGAGGTAGTTAACATCTTGCCACCGTTGGCGCTCTGTGTATCTCTCCACGTGTGCGAGCAGATGTACCTGTCCCAGCCGCCCGCTTGCCCCGCTCCCGTCTACGACCTCATGCTGCGGTGCTGGCGCCGGGAGTCGCTGGACCGGCCGACCTTCCCGCAGATCCAGAGCTTCCTTGCGCAGGAGGCCTCCTAGCTCGGCCGGGACTAGCGCTGCCGCTGCCACGGCGATGCGATGGCGTTCATCCCACCCGCGCATCTACCTGGCCTGAGACCAGCTGACTTGTCACTCACACATTCAGAGCCCTTGCAATCAACTCGCGTGCTTTCTGCTATCATTCATTATTATTATTATTGCTACTACGTATGGAAGGGATGATGTATGTAAGGGGGGGATGTTGTATGTACGTTGAACGTCTTTCGCAGCGTGCGTAGTCGGAGGTGTGGGGGGGAAGGGCAACAAACTAAACCACAAAAAAGCAGTTCTGATGATGATTATTATCGTCATCAGTTAAAACGAAATATATATGTGCAAATGTAAATATTGTAAAGTGTGCATCGGGACCTCGCGAAGAAAATGTGAAGATGATAAATATAGCAGACGTCGGGGGAGGGGGTGGGGGGGAGAGCGAGCAAGAAGTGGGTATTTTTGTATCGAACTCGTAATGTGCATGCAGACTGGAGCGTGTAATCTGTCTCCCGTCTCCACGCGTCGCCACACGCAACACAACGCACGCACGTCCCGACGTGCACGCAAACCTTTTATAAACGCGCGAGAGGCACGTTCTAAACCTGTACATAACCTCTCCCTTGCGCTGCATCCATGTCGCTTTATTGGTAAGAAAATAAACGTATATTTAAAGCACGCGCGTGTTACGGTGGGTTGTGCAGCGGCAGTGAGATTGCGATGACAGCCGCCCAATCAGAGCCCAAGCGGGAGAGAGCCAGCAACGATAGCCCCGCCCACTCTCACATAGCCCCGCCCACTCTCACATAGCCACGCCCACTTTTACATAGCCACGCCCACTCTCGCGCTGACCACGCCCACTCTTACATAGCCACGCCTACTTTTACATAGTCACGCCCACTCTCACATAACCACGCCCACTCTTACATAACCACGTCTACTGACCACGCCCACTCCCACTGGCCACGCCCACTGACACACTGGCCACGCCCCCTGGCCAAGTCCCCCCCCCCTTCCCCCGTGTGAGCTCCCTCGCCTGGTATACAGGAGGTCGTGGGTTCGATCCCCACGCTGCCGTCTGCTGCTGTATATTTCAAGGCTGCGTCTCTCGCTGTGATTTTTTCTCCGGGTCCTCCGCTTTTTCCACTCCACATTTAGAATGAACGTCACATGGCACACGATGATGATGATGATGAAATCAGCCACTTCGTTGCAGCTATCATTTGTGATGGGGCCCCACGGTGGCTAAGAGATGTTAACTACCTCGCCTGGTATACAGGAGGTCGTGGGTTCGATCCCAACCCTGACGCCTGCTGCTGTATATTTGGGGTTTGTGTGTGTCTCTCTCTCTCGCCGTGGTCGCGTGGATTTTTCTCCGGGTCCTCCGCTTTTTCCCTCCACATTTAGAATCAACGTCAGAGTGTTTTGCTGCTATAAATTTCCACGCGAACACATTCCTGCGGAGGGAGCTGGTAGGAACGTCGGGTTGCTCGGTCAATGGCCAGGGTCAACGGCGGCGTGGTGTATTCCGCAAATATGCCCGACTGTGAGGGCGGGCACAAGCCGGCGTGAGTAGGTTAAACGGTGAGTTTTATAAGGGCACCACGGGGCGACCAGCCCCTCCCCACCCAGCCCCACCCCTCCCACTCCTCCCCACCCTCCCCTCCCCACCCTCCCCTCTCCACCCAGCCCCACCCCTCCCATTTTTGGATGCACGACGGACGGACGGACACAATAATCCCCTGTGGGCTGGTGGAATCAGGTGGTTCCTACCAGTATAAGCCACTAAGTTGAGTTATCATTTGTGGTGGCCAGGTCGCTTCTGAAAAAGAGCTACATGGCTCAGTGAGGCCTTACCTGGTAAAATAAAATTAATATAGTTTTACATATGATGATGATGAGAAACCGGAGGATTTTATCAACAAATCTGGCTGTCCACCTGATGAAGCTAGTTGTAATTATTGGCGAAACGTCGTACTCGCATTGTGGCTTTGCTCTCCAACACACAACCGGTTAGTGCTGTACTGGTGCAAAGGAGAGCCGACATAAGGTTGCAGGGGGTTCGTCTTGTATTGCTTCCCCCAGTCGACAGCCTTCTCGATCCGGTGACCACCAATTCCCCCTTTATCTCGCCCGTTCTCTCTCCTCGCCTGCTCCTCACCGTCCCACTCCCCTTCCTGTTGGTGGGAATCCTTCCCCCGACATCCCTTACACGAGCAACGAGTTGGAAACGTTCTGTTCAATACGTGACAAACCTTGCTGATTGGGTGTGTCGGGTGGTGGCGGGTTTAACGACACATTTCTATTTACGCGAATCAAACAAAAAAACGTATAAATTTCGATTTAAAGCTTTCGTGACTGCAGGGATTCATCTTCTTGGTTCTTTCGGTAAAGTCACCTCCTACGCATTTCACAAGTAGTAATAATCGCATTTCTGCATTTTCCATAAATATGCTAAATTCCTCTTGATATTCAAATTATTTTGTCAAGGCGCTCTTCTCCCCTCTATCCCAGCTTAAATAGTCGCTCCAAGCCTGGGGTGTGTCATTCAGACTCTGTCTTCCCGACAGACCTGTTCTCCACCTGAGGACGGCTGCTTGCGTTGTGGCCGAAACGTCGTGAGAATTATTTTATTATGTTTTATTTTTATTATTTTATTATTTCCATTCTACGTGACTTTACCGAAAGAACCAAGAAGATGAATCCCTGCAGTCACGAAAGCTTTAAATCGAAATATAGGTTTAAACATATAATATACATAGGCAGTGCCTGCTTCTGTAAAATAGCTACACAGCTCGGGACAGATAAGTAAAATAAGTAATATTTAAAACTACTTTTTTTTAAACACTCTTTAATGAAATGTACCGCACTTGTAATGGAAGAACTCCACGACTCCAGGAAGTGGCCCCGAAACTCGCCACAACGTAAGGGACCGTGGCCAATTAGAGCCAACGCCAGTTGACCGTGGACAATTAGACCCAAGCCAAAACATAACATATACAAAAAATGTTAAAAAATATCTTTTTTTTAATGTTTAAAAATATATATTTTTATGATATAATATAGTATTGTCATCAGTATGACATAAGTATACCAAGTTTGCAGTCGATACCACATTGGGAAGTGGGTTAAAATTGAGTTACAATATTTGAGGATACGACAACAACTACAACAGACACAGTGAGTTAAATAAAAGCGTGTAGTAATAAAATTTATAATTTAAAGACAGAACTGCAGTTCACAACCAACGCCCACAATCGATGCGCTGATAAATTAATTAATTACCTGCGCGGTCACGTGGCCCCGCATCGCTATAAATAGCCGCGCCTCGGGGCGCGCGCGCGCCGCTTATTGATGTCGGGATGGAGGCGGGGGGCCCCAGACGTGAGCAGGTGAGTGAGCAGGTGAGTGAGCAGGTGAGTGAGCTCACTCACCTACTCGCTCACCCACTCACCTACTCACTCACCTACTCGCTCGCTCACTCACCTACTCGCTCACCTACTCACTCATCCACCCACTCGCTTAGCCACTCACCTACTCGCTCACTCACCTACTCGCTCACCTACACACTCACCCACCCACTCACTCACCCATTCACCCACCCACTTACTCACCCACTTGCGTGCTCACTCGCTCACCTACTCATCCACTGACCTACTTACGTAATCGCCTACCCACTCACCCACCCACTCACCCAACCACCCACTTAACCCACCCACTCACCCACCCATTCACGTACTCACATACTTACGTGCTCACTCGCTCACCTACTTACGTCCTCGCCTACACACTCACTCACCCACTTACTTAACCACCCACCCACCCATTCACTCACCCACCCACTCTCCCACTCACTCACCCACTCACTCACCCACTCACTCACCCACCCACTCACTCACTCACTCATCCATCCACTCACTCACTCACTCACCCACTCACTCACCCACCCACTCACCCACTCACTCACCCATTCACTCACCCACCACTCTCCCTGTCTCCCAGTCGCGATCCTTGCAGGGCTTTCTCCGAGTCCGTCCGTTCAGCGCAGACGAGCTGCAGAGAGGAGAAGACCAGGCAAGATACATCACCAACATCACCCACCAACATCACCAACATCACCCACCCACAATCACCAACATCGCCCCCTAAACCCATATCACCATAACCCACATCGCCCCCATCACCCGCATCAACCACATGGTCATCATCACCATCACCCACATCGCCATCACCCATATCGCCATCATCACCATCATCGCCCCCATCACCCCCGTGGCCCACGTCACCATCATAGCCTCCATCGCTCTCTTCACCATCATCAGCTTTACAAGACCATCACCATGTCGATTGTTATCGCCAGCCTACCCGCCATGGTGGTTGTGATTGGTGGCGTTCATGACGGTGGTGATGGTGGTGGTGGTTGATGGTGGTGGTGAGGACGTGGAGCTGAGTGGACTTGCCGATGAGCGATACCAGCGGTGTCAAGATCGGCCTCTGTGGAGGAGGAGGCTCATGAAGGACGCTACTGGGGAGGGGGGTGCCAGGCTAGGTGCACAGTGAGGCTATTGGGCATTTGGAGGGCAGTCGCCTCCTCCGACAACAACGAAGGGCGGAGGAGCAACGCTCACAACAACGAGTGGATAAAACGCAGCGAGTTTGCACAGCTGGTGGTGCATCTACCGGTCATCTCAGTCAGTCGACCTACGGCACCTGCTGGGTCTGTCCCGAGACCTACGGCACCTGCTGGGTCTGTCCCGAGACCTCCTGCCAGCAGCGAGCCTTCGACCGTGGTGGCCTCAAAGTGCACCTAGCCTGGCACAGGCGCCGTGGTGACGTCACCGCTGCCACGTAGGGGCGAATGTCGGCTGTTGTTGTTGGCGATGATGTTGTCATCGTTGATGGTTTTGATGATGTAGACGGTTGTGATGATGTTGTTTAAGGTGTTGATGGGGGTGATGGTGGTGCTGCTGGTGGTGCTGCTGGTGGTGGTGCTGGTGGTGCTGCTGGTGGTGCTGCTGGTGGTGCTGCTGGTGGTGCTGGTGGTGGTGCTGGTGGTGCTGCTGGTGGTGCTGGTGGTGGTGCTGATGGTGGTGGTGGGGGTGTTGATGATAATGATGCTAGTGGTGGTGGTGCTGATGGTGGTGGTGCTGATGGTGGTGGTGTTGATGGTGGTGGAGCTGCTGGTGGTGGTGTTGATGATGGTGGTGGTGGTGCTGCTGGTGGTGGTGGTGTTGATGGTGGTGGTGTTGATGGTGATGGTGGTGCTGATGGTGGTGCTGGTGGTGGTGCTGGTGGTGGTGGTGGAGCAGGGCTGTCTGGAGCTGGCTGGACCCTCTGTGCTCCTCTCTCTCCCGAAAGCCGGCGTCACCTCCCTGCAGAAGTTCACATTCACACAGGTGAGTGTGTGGGTGAGTGTGTGGGTGAGTGTGTGGGTGAGTGTGTGGGTGAGTGTGTGGGTGGGTGTGTGGTTGGGTGGGTGTGTGTGTGGGTGAGGGTGGGTGAGTGTGAGTGGGTGTGTTGGTGAGTGTGGGTGGGTGTGTTGGTGAGTGTTGGTGAGTGTGGGTGAATGTGGGTGAGTGTGGGTGGGTATGTAGGTGAGTGTGTGGGTGAGTGTGTGGGTGGGTGTGTAGGTGAGTGTGTGGGTGAGTGTGTGGGTGAGTGTGTGGGTGAGTGTGTGGGTGAGTGTGTGGGTGGGTGTGTGGTTGGGTGGGTGTGTGTGTGGGTGAGGGTGGGTGAGTGTGAGTGGGTGTGTTGGTGAGTGTGGGTGGGTGTGTTGGTGAGTGTTGGTGAGTGTGGGTGAATGTGGGTGAGTGTGGGTGGGTATGTAGGTGAGTGTGTGGGTGAGTGTGTAGGTGAGTGTGTGGGTGAGTGTGTGGGTGGGTATGTCGGTGAGTGTGTAGGTGAGTGTGGGAGTGGGAAGGCAGCAGCAGCAGCCACGTGGTGTTGAGGAGCCAGCACCACCAACAATTGCCCCAAGCTCTGCAGTCCTCTTTGTATGAAGGCGTCATCAGCTAATTAACGAGCGCTGCCACGTGGGAGAAAACCGGTGCGCGCGTGCGATGTGTGGAAACGCTCGATCCCGTTCAGATGGAACAGATGGTGAGTAGTCCACACTGCTGTACCGCCATCTGCTGGCATAGCCAGGGGCTACGTCTCCTCCTCGACACCAAGTCCACGGGAAGGGAGTGAGTTGGGCGATGTGGGTGCGCGTTCATCCCCCCACCCCCAGGTGTTGGGGCCGGCCTGCTCCCAGCTGGACGCATTTGAGTCGACGGTGCATGCGCCCGTCTGTGCGTGCGTGCGCGGCGAGAGCGCCCTGGTGTTCACCTACGGCGTCACCAGCTCGGGGAAGACGCACACGCTCATGGGTACCGCGCCGCGCGCGTCAGCGTGGCTTGTCGCACCGCGTGCATCACTCGTCACACCGCGCTCTCTCCCGCGTGTGCATGCGTCTCTCTCAGAGGTCGCAAACGGGTTTTGATTCCTTACCCGTACCCGTACCCGGCCGCACCAGGGTCGCAAATAGGTACCCGTACCCCTACCCGGCCGGGTACGGGTACCCGTTCCCTACCCGTACCCTACCCGAAATGAGTGACAAACGGTTACTCACCAGTGACTCACGGCCTACCAATACCCGTACCCGGCCGGACCAGGGTCGCAAATGGCTACCCGTACCCGGCCAGGTACGGGTACGGGTAGCCGGGTATTGGGTAGGGTACGGGTATCGGGTACCCGATTGCGACCTCTGGGATGAAGCCATGTTGCAGGTGCGGGTGGGTTGATTCTAGGAACTTAAATTGTGAGAAGAGACACAAGACGTTGGGAAATGAGTGACAAGCGGTGACTCACCAGTGACTCACGGCCTACCCGTACCTGTACTCGGCCGCACCAGGGTCGCAAACGGGTACCCGGCTACCCGTACCCGGCCGGGTACGGGTAGCCGGGTAGCCGGGTATCGGGTAGGGTACGGGTATCGGGTACCCGGTACCCGGTTGCGACCTCTGGCCTCTCTCCAGGCACGGCGCGAGAGCCGGGCCTCCTCCCGCGCGCCCTGGGCCTCCTCTTCGGCCTGCTGGGCGACCGCCAGTACCGGCGCTGGGACCTGCGGCCGCTGCGGCACGGCGAGGTGCAGCGGCTGGAGCCCGGCGAGGTGGAGGCCGAGCGGCGGATCCGAGCGCAGCTGCTCGCCACCGAGGAGGTGACGACCGCGACGACGGACAACGGATGACGAGGTTGCGTTCGTGGCTGCTTGTGAACGGGTTTTACTGCGCCCCTGCCGCTACTCTGCGTGTCCATCCGTGAGGAGGTGACCAAGACGGACGATGACGTTGGACGATCGGGGGGGTGGCGGGGGGGGCAGCTGATCTCGTCACGCTACCCGTTACTGTTCACCCTTCCCGTTACCGTTCACCCTTCCTGTTATTGTTCCCGTGAACTCCGCTTTGCTCATTCTCCGACCGCGGTCCCTCCAGCGCTCGCCGAGCCGCGTTGGCTTCCGGTTGCCGAACGAATTCGTTGTAAGGTCGTGCCCGTTGCTCGCAACAAATTGCTTGCCACGGATGAACTACGCAAAAGCTTAGGCTGAGCGCGTCAAGGAGCATAAATCATCATCACACCAACTCCGGTAATCCTCGCAGCAGCGGCAGCGGTGGCTTTTGGCCCTGCCGTCGAACAAAGACGGTATATATACTCTTAGGTTTTTCGGTAGTCATGTAGGGGAAAAATAAATAAATACTTTTCTATTATTTCTATTATTATGTATTACTAGATTTGAAGCTTTCGTGACTGCAGGGATTCATATTCTTAGGTTTTTTCTGTAAAGCCACGTAGGTAAAAAACATAAAAAAGTAAAATAAAATAAAAAATTTTTGCACGAAGCCATACAAATATACAAACACAGACATAATTTCAACCGTGATGACGGTTACAAACTGAGTAATCATTGGAAAGATGTGATTAACCATGCCAAAAAGATTTAACTACACTTATTTGCCAATCTCATTTGACAGACAACTATTACAGTTTTACCATGTTTAGTGGTGGTATCCCTGCCACAGGTTGAGTCACAAACCGCACCCTTCCACAACAAAGGCTCAGCCTTTGTTATGCAGTCTATTCTTAGTCTTAAGCCTCACCTTACCATATAAATAATAAGTATGCGCCCCTTGCACCACGATCTTCTCCAACCATTATATAAACGGAGTGGTAGCTCCTGCAATCTCTCATTTACTTGATACAGCTGTCGTGGCTGTGACGGTACCACCTGAAGACGGAAGCTTGTGTTGCCTCCGAAACGTCGTGATTTTTTATTTTTTATTTTATTTTACTTTTCAATGTTTTTTTACCTATGTGACTTTACCGAAAAACCTAAGAGTATGAATCCTTGCAGTCACGAAAGCTTCAAATCTAGAATTAAAGACGGTGGTCACCGCTGCATCGCGCGGCGCTTTCAGACGCGTTTCTGTGGCCGTCTGGAACGCTCTTCCCTTCCGATATCAGGAAGCCGCTGGAGCTGTGCGCTTCGCGGTTCAGTTCCCGGCAGGGTGCCCTGAGGTTCTTGTCGTGTTTAGTGTCGTCGTCCTTCCCCTGCACCTTCGATCTGATGCACGGTTGGCTACGTTCGGTGCCAAATAAGTTCAACATACATACATAGGCAGCTGTTTGTGAACGGGTTTTACTCTGTTTAACACGTAGCAGGCTTTTGCGACCAATATTCATAATCAACGTTTTTGGGTTCAGATCGCATTATTTATAAATGTGTTGTAACCCTCCACCACCCGACACGGCCAATCAGTAAAAAAGTGTCACGTTGACAAAAGACAAATAGTTCACTGCTTTAGCCCACCGGTGTGTTGAAGCGTGAAACTACAACATTTACAATTTGAGTAGCACGACGTTTCGCTGGTAATTGCATCCAGCATCATTGGGCAATTCGCCAGAATGGTGAGGCTCTGCTCTGTCTCCCGTTCTTACTCTGTCGCTGTTATTGCCGCCACCGCTTTGCCGCCATTGCCATCCGTGAGAGATGTCTGTGGCCTTGTTTTCAGGACGGCGCTCCGTCGCGAGGCATGAGGAGGTCCCGGAGCGCTCCCTGTCTCGCGCTGCTCCACGACGGTGCGCCTCCTCCATTCACGATCATCATTATTGTTGTTGTTTTTGTTCCGTCGTGAATTCCGAGGCCGTGCTGGGAAAAGAGCTCTCACCCGGAAGTGCCCGGACGAGTGGCCATTTGCTGCCTCCCTGGGCCTAGCCAACCCGGGCGGCATAAGAATGAACGCATGATTTCCCCTTCGCCCCACGGTGGTTTTTTCGTCCGTCGTGCGATTTCGCGAGCACCGTCTACGCGGCTATTGCACAGAACCACTTTCTGCCCCACATTTGGCGCGGGTTTGGCTTGCGTACGGCGTGGACGAGGTTCAACATGCATACGCACAACATTCGCCGCGTTATGTGGCTTTAATTCACCCTCCGTGCGGATTGCGCAGTCGGACGTGGGACAACATGGCGTGTACTGCACTGTGTGTACCGCACTGCGTGTACAGTACGGTGTGTACAGTAGGTGTGCATTGTACTGTACAGTGTGTACCACACTGCACTGTATGTACCGTACAGTGTGTACTGTGCCGCACTGCATGTACCCTACTGTATGCACTACTTGGCAGGCGGCTGTCTCCTCGTGCGGTGCATTGTGGGTTGGGTGCGTTCCACGCTACGCAAGTTCACTTTACGTGCGCCCACCCCCCCCCCTTTTTTTTTTGCAATACATTTATGACTACTATTACTACTACCACGTCGACCGGTAGTTTTTCACTCATTTTCAGAGGGGTGGGGAATGAGGGTGAGGGCGCACATCATTGGTGAGAGGGCCGCCACACCATTTGAAACCATTGGGGGGGGGGGGGGGGGGGGTTGACAGCAGCACGATGATGATGGGGTGTTATCACTCGTTGTGTGTTGTCAGGGGCCACGCTAAAGACCACCGCCAGTGGCCCTGCAGTGGCCTTGCGGTGAAGGACGCTGCCGCAGGGCGAGGAGGGGGGGGGGGGGGAGGAACCGGCAAATTGGCCGTCCCCTCCTCTCGCCGCCTGATGTAAGTGTTCTCTCTCCTTTCCGTGCTCCCTTGCAGGCGACTTCACCGCGTCGCCCATCCTCCCCATACTGGAGTCGACGAGCCTCTCTCAGCACCTGGGAGAGGAGACGGGGCCACAGCCGGACAGAGAGATGGATGGGCAGCCGGAAGGGAACCAGCTGTTCTCGGTGTGGGTGTCCTTTGTGGAGATTTACAACGAGTCCATGCGGGATCTGCTGTTGCAGGAAGAGGCGGGCACCGCCAGCCAGCCCTACCGCGGCACCACCCTCCGCCTCGGAGAGGACTCCAACGGTCACCCCTACCTAAAAGGTTATCCGGGGTCGCGGTGGGGGTCGCGGTGGGGTCGCGGTGGGGTCGCGGTGGGGTCGCGGTGGGGGGTCAAGGGTTATATCTACGTGGGCCTTTTTGCCAGGATGATACCGGCGAAGAGGATCCATAGACATAACTGCTCGGCGGTGTCGTGGCGTTGCGGTGCCGTGTGTCTGTCTGCGTGTGTGTGCGTGCGCGCGTGTGTGTGTGTCTGTGTGTATGTGTGTGTGCGTGTGTCTGCGTGCATGTGTGTGTGAGCGTGTGTAGACGTGCGCTGGGTGGGAGTGAGCACTGCTGGCCAGGCCCTCTGCTTGCTGGCGCGGGGCCGCAGGCAGCAGAGCGTGGCTCAGACGCGGCTCAACCAAGCCTCGAGCCGCAGGTGAGGCACCCCCCCCCCTCGCTTGTATCGCGGGTGGTGAGGGTGGTCAGGAGGGTGGTGAGGGTGGTGAGGGCGGTGAGGGCGGTGAGGGCGGTGAGGGCGGTGAGGGCGGTGAGGGCGGTGAGGGCGGTGAGGGTGGTGAGGGTGGTGAGGGTGACTCAGGCGGTGAGGGTGAGACTTGACCGAGTGAGTTTTGCCAGCGAGCGGTCTCATCGACTTGAACCTCTGCTACCCCCCCTCTCCCCCCCGGCTTCTCAGCCACAGCATCTTCACCGTGCGGCTGCTACGCGTCCAGGACGAGGGAGGGAGCAGCCTGGTGTCGAGCAGCGAGTAAGCGCACACACACGCACTGGGCCTACGCACACACACGCACTGGGCAAACACACTCACACGCACTGGGCCAACACACTCACACGCATTGCGCCTACGCACACGGCGCCTATGCATATGTAGTAAGTAGAGGAGGAGACGATGTCGAAGTTGAGACACACTGTTTATTAACTCCGGGACAGATACAATAGTTGAAGGGGTATCGGCCCCTTCACCCGTACTAGGGAAAACCCACCCTAGTACTAAGCCCTCTGTCCTGTCCCCCAGTCCTCCTCTACTGGGCTACGGGAAGCTGACTGATCTGGCCCTGGCAAGCACAGATCTCGGCACCAGCTAACCAGCCTTGCCCTGATAAGGGCAGCGGTCTGGAAGCTCTTGGGCCGCGCCACTGGCTTACCCGGCTCGGCCCTTATAAGGACGGCGAGACCGGGGAGTCCCAGGGCCTAATCTCCGAGTCTTGGATCTTCACTGGTCAGCTTCGTGTCGAACTGAACTCGAGCTCTTTGGGTTCCACCTTTTATAGGGATCGCCTCCGAGGGCTGGGGGCGTGGGCAATAACTGATGCGGACGTCGGTGTGACCCCCCGTGTATGTGAGTGCCGACAGCCCTGTGTTTGTTGTCCGCCGTTTCTCCCGTAATAACCCCTACATCACCCCCCCCTGTACAGCTCGCAGCCGTCCCGGCTGCAACAATCCCTCAACCCCCAAGAATAAAGATTAACACCGTCAATACACGTGTGCCTCGTAACAGTAACAATAACAAGAACAAGCGTAACATCAACCGATGGTTCCCTATAAAAAAAACCCCCCCACCCGGAACCGCAACACATATACAGAACGGTATAACAGCACATGCAATCAGCATATCGCGATCACACGCGTACATTGAAGCACAATAGCAAGCAAATCTGCAGGCGACCAACACACCATCAATCCCGTCGTAACTTTTCAACCACAACACAGTTATTCCCTCTCATGCAACGACCGCATCGCACACAGCACCTCGCAGCACAATACAGCCCAAAAAAAACATTTTTTTTTCTTTTTTTCCCAATTAAGCCCATCGCGCACGGTAACCCACGAGATGGTACAGCACAGGATACCCGACGCTCCCACGTTAATAATTAACTTTACCATCAAGATAACAACTCCACGCAGCAGCGCACACACTCCCTTTGAAACTCAGCAACCACAGCAGACTCTCCGTCCATTCCCAACACACGCACACACTTACATGGACAGCAAGCAACAAGCAGATAGCGTGGTCATCGTTATTACACACACATACAACCATTAAAAAACATATATACAATGAGCGGGTTCCGCAGCAACGGAACACGCGCGGAAAGCTAATCATAACAACCGGCGCGTTTTGGCGCGAGTCCGTGCAGCGGGCCCGTCACAAGGGGCCGGCTTGGTAGAGTCGGTGGCAGGTGTCGCATCAGCAGGTGCCTGGTCGTCCGGTTTCCCGGACGTGCCAGCGCCGCCCCCCACGGGGGAGGCTGGCAGCCAAGAGGGCTTCAGTCCTGGGGCTCCTGAAGACGGGACAGTCATTAGTGGATCAGAGGCTGGCATCGATCCCGCCCCCCCGGAGTCAGAGGACTCCCCACATGTTCGGCCATTTACGTGGGAGGAAGCGTGCGGAGCAAAAAATGGCTTTAACCGTGAAGGGTGCACAAACCACCGACGCTTCCCCCACTTAATGCGCACACATTGAGGCCGCACAACCTGCACAATTTCAACGGGGCCCCTCCATGGTCGCAACAACTTAGCCGAGGTGGCCAATGGCACCTGGGGGCAGTGCAACCATGCTCGGTCGCCCGGGTGCCATTCGTGCGTGTGAGTCCGGCGCGACCGCAATCTCTTCGTTTTGTTTCTGGCGAGAGTCAGAGTTTTGCATGGCCGCCTGCCGTGCCTCCGCCAAGCGAAGGATGTTAAATTTAACATGGTCGGCGATTTTCGACTTAGCATGAGGCGCGGCAATCGTCAGCTGAGTCGCGACAGGCGGGTCAACCTCGCGACCATACATAAAAAAAAATGGCGAGAACCCGGTCGCCGCGTGAGGAGCCATCCTGTATGCCGCCAGGACTCCCCCGATCCGTAGATCCCAATCGTTTTGGGACTCAGATACCTGGTGGGATAGCATGGACGTAAGAGTCCTATGCAAGCATTCCACCATCCCATCCGTTTGTGGATGGTAAGGCGAGGTACGAACTTTCTTTGTACCCAGAAGGCCACATACCTCGTGTAAAAGGGTACTAGTGAAATTCTTTCCCTGATCGGTCAACAACCGTTCCGGAGCGCCCTTGTCGAGGACGTAGCCCTGAACAAAAGCCTCCGCAACGGCCGCTGCGGACTGGTTGGCGAGGGGCCAAGCCATAGGCCATTCGCGTGAAATATTCCACTGCCAACCAGCAGGTACTTATTACCCCTCGGCGTGGAAGGAAACGGTCCCAAAATATCAAGGGCGACCAGCTCGTTAACCCGGGTGACCGAAATGGACTGGAGCGGTGGACTGGCTCCCTTCGCCGGCGGCTTCCGTTGTGCACACTGGGTACAGGACCGCAGCAGATCGTCCACGTCTCTTGCCATGCCCGGCCAAAAGTAGTTAAGCTGGAGCATGGCAAGTGTTTTGAGGGTACCCAGGTGCAGGAGCCGTTCATGAGCAGCCCATACAGCCCTACCCCTCAACGTGGAAGGCACCACCAGCCTGTGACGGCGGATCGTCCCGTCCCAATGCATGAGTAAGCCCTGGCACCACCCCCATGAGTCAACTGCCCGACTTCCCTTGACCTGATCCTTCCGCGCGACGTCGTAGCGCCAGGACGGGTCGCATCCTCCATTTGGAGGCGACCCCACTCAGCACTCGACAAGCCAAGTAGGGAATCACTCCCACCCTCCGAAATAGGACCAGCGTCCGAAGGAGTATCAACTGCGGCCGCAAGAACCCGATCCTGGCCGTCACTTGCCGATTTGCAACGGCCCGAACCCAAGAAACAAGTGCAATCCGGGGCGATCGGCAGGCGTGATAGGGCATCGGCATTGGTGTGGCGAATCCCCTTCCGGTAAGTTGTCTCAAAATCGAAATCCTGCATGATCTCGAGCCATCGGGACAACTGCCCCGATGGCTGGTTAATTCGTAGGGCATACTGCAACGCTGCATGATCTGTACGGACGGTGAAATGCCGGCCATACAGATATGGCCGGTACTGTTGGATAAAGAACACGATAGCCAACAGTTCGCGGCGGGTGACGCAGTACCGCTGCTCGGCCGGGGACAGTACTCTACTACCATAAGCCACAACGCGCTCCACGCCACCCACAATTTGTGACAGCACGCCTCCAATCCCGGTATTGCTTGCGTCCGTGTCGAGCACGAACGGCATGGAAAAATCGGGGTAGCTTAACGGCGGGGCCCCCACCAGGGCATCCCGAAGAGAGACAAAAGCGGCGTTCTCCACCGGCCCCCAATGAAATTTGACCCCTTTTGACGTCAAGGCATGTAGTGGCTTAGCGATGGAAGCAAAGTCCGCAACAAACCGGCGGTAATATGAAGCAAAGCAGATGAAGCTTCTAACCTCCCCCACCGAGGTGGGAATAGGCCAGGAGCTGACACAACGCGTTTTGGCGGGATCGGTTGAGATACCTGACCGGCCGACGATGTGACCCAAATATTTAACAGATTCGCGCAGCAAATGGCACTTTTGTGGCTTGAATTTCAAATTAGCAGCGCGCATCTTGAGAAAGACGGCCCGAAGCCTATCAAGGTGTTCCTCGAACGTCTTACTGAATACGATAACGTCATCCAGGTAAATCAAACACACCTCCCATTGCAAGCCAGCGAGGACCAATTCTATCAGGCGCTGGAACGTCGCGGGAGCAGAGTGTAATCCCATGGGTAAGCGATTGAATTGGAAGAGGCCGTGCGGCGTTCGGAAAGCTGTTTTGGGCCTAGATTCGTCGTCCAAGGGAAGTTGCCAAAATCCTGAGAGCAAATCCAAAGTGGAAAAGAATCGCGATCCCGCGAGGGCATCCAGCGATTCGTCCATTCGAGGAAGCGGATAAGCATCGGCCACCGAGATCTTATTTAATCGCCGGAAATCAACGCAGAACCTTAGGGACCCGTCGTGCTTTTTAACCAACACTATGGGTGCACCCCAAGGGCTGGTCGAGGGAGAAATGATGTCCGATTTCAACATGTCATCTACAGCCGATTTGACATGATCCTTTTCGGCGGGACTTAACCGAAAAGGATTTTGGCGGATAGGAGCGTTGTCACCGGTGTCAATATGGTGGCGTAGCAATTTGGTACATCCGATATCGTATTTGTGTTTACTGAAAACGTCGGAAAATTCTCGCAATAAGGCGCGTAATCTAGCACGTTGTGCGTCGGACAGGTCAGGTGACTCAGCACACAACGCATCCAGCCAACCCTCGTCAGCATCTGAGGCTAATCGCGTTTGAGAATCGGTGGCCACCTGGCCAATGATCGGCGTTTCCGCAGGTACCGGAACCGCATGTGCGAACACGGTACCTTGCGAAACCACTGCCGTCCGTGTCCCGACATTGAGGACCGCGATAAACGGGTCCCCATCCCCTTTAACAATAGTCTGGGCCGTCACCAGATCTGGCCCACTCACCCCGGCTCTAGATGGTCCCAAAATAACGCCCCGGTCAGAGACCCCTTTATCGAACGGTCGACGCAAGCGCAGGGGTACCAACATCTGTGCCCCCGGGGGTACACGCACCGTCCGAGCAACGAGCGCCTGTACCGTAGCACAGGCAACACGCAAGGCAGGGGTGGCAGGTAGGAACGTCATACGTCGGCCCGATGGAAGCTCGATGCATTGCTGGTCAATCAGAATTTTGATGGGCAATTTGGCCAAAAAGTCTGTCCCCAACAGGCACGGAATAGCCAGCGAGGAGGAGACGAACACCGGGCCAGATAGTTTAATGTCCCCTATTGAAATTTGCGCTCGAATTTGACCGATAATACCCAACGAGCCCCCATTCGCAGCGTAAAACGGTATATCGACAGGGAGCAACGGGCGACTCTGAACGGGCAGGAATATTATAAATCAAATCCGAAATGATAGTTGCCGAAGCTCCCGTATCGACCAATAGCCGTACCTCCACCCCGTCAATATGCCCCGCGACAACGGACGACCCCGCCGATGCAGCCACAACTCGGTGAGCCAACTCGGACCATTGGCCCGGTTGGAGCGCCCTCCCCGACATGCCGCGACCCGACGCACCAGCACCCAAACCCCGAGAATCGTGTGTCGGACCTTGTGATAGGAAAGTGGGTGTGTGTGCAGGCCGAACATGTGGGGTGCCATGACTTGCCCGAGGATGTTGCGAAGGCTTGTGAGGAGGGCCGTCCGCAGCTCCAGGTCTCGCACCGCGCTGTCGAGGAGCCCGGCATCCGGACGCCACGTGGCCCCGGAGGCCACAATTATAGCAGACGACGAGCGTTCCAGAGGACTTGGGCTGGTCTCGGTGGCTTGGAACGTCCCGAGCCGGTCGCTCGGCAGATCGCCATCCTGCAGAACGATCCGCAGCGAAGGCTCCCTCCATTCCGGAAGAGGTCGCCGCCACGGTGTGTCGTGCAGCTGCTTTGTTCGCCTTCCTCCGCTGGGAGATGAGATTGGCGTGAATGTGCCTTGCAGCCCGCAGTGATGACATATCCGCATCGTCCTGCGCTAAGATGGTGAAGTCCAAATCGTCAGCCAGCAGCAAAATTTTCTCAGCCACCATCGCATCGATCCCCTCTTCATCCATACGCGGGAAAGCGTCCTTCGCCAATGACAGCAGGGCCGTGCGATAAGCGAGTGGCGATTCCTTGTCACCCTTCTGCCGTTCATAGAAGAGCTGGCGACAATCGGAGGGCGGCCCATAAACGGTGGCCAGCAGCTGCAGCGCCGACTGAATGGTGGAGCGAGCCGACTTGGGTGCAGCAGTGAGGGTGCCCAGGGCGTCGCCGTCCAGTAACGCCGGGAGAGCACACAGCGCCTCGTTGTCCGACCAGCCTGCCATCTCTTGGTGGGCCAAGAACCGGCGCTGGAACCCCCCCCAATCGCCGTCGCTTGCAACAAATACCTGCAGGGCCGGCAGGCGTTGCTGGAATGTCGGCTCCGTCTCCGATCCTCTTGCAGCATCCGTAGCGCGTCCTCGTACTGTATGAGTAATGGCGGACTCTAATGGGTGTCGCGCCGTCAGTGACGTGTTGGTCGGGGCTTGGTCGGTGCTGGCGTCCGCTGGTGGTGACGTTGCAACCCCTGATAGGCCGCCACCGCGACCCGCCTCCACCGATGACGTGGCGGCTGCTGGCTGGGCACCGTCCCCCGCGTGACGAGCTGGGACTCCTCCCTCCGCCCCTACTGTCTTCGTGGCGGGAATTTCGAGTCGCCCCGCTGTTGTAAAGGCGGGAGTTTCTGGCGGGCGTTGTCCATCTTCCCGCCGCGTCGCTCCTCCCGGTCCCAGGCGAGTTATTTGTTCCAGCATAGCGGCCGCTGCATACAAGAGCTCCGCCAGCCGCGAGTGAGCCAACGCCAACTCGTCAGTCGACGTCCCGGCCCTCTCCGACGACCCCGCCGATGTCGGAGCCGGCAGCTGTTGTGCAGGTACGTCGGCGGCGATGTCTTGCACTGCCCCTCCCTCGTCGTCATCCTCTCCTGGGTCTTGGGCACGAGTCTTCCGTCTCGTATCCATGCTTGGACCACTTCCAACACCAGATGTAGTAAGTAGAGGAGGAGACGATGTCGAAGTTGAGACACACTGTTTATTAACTCCGAGACAGATACAATAGTTGAAGGGGTATCGGCCCCTTCACCCGTACTAGGGGAAACCCACCCTAGTACTAAGCCCTCTGTCCTGTCCCCCAGTCCTCCTCTACTGGGCTACGGGAGGCTGACTGATCTGGCCCTGGCAAGCACAGATCTCGGCACCAGCTAACCAGCCTTGCCCTGATAAGGGCAGCGGTCTGGAAGCTCTTGGGCCGCGCCACTGGCTTACCCGGCTCGGCCCTTATAAGGACGGCGAGACCGGGGAGTCCCAGGGCCTAATCTCCGAGTCTTGGATCTTCACTGGTCAGCTTCGTGTCGAACTGAACTCGAGCTCTTTGGGTTCCACCTTTTATAGGGATCGCCTCCGAGGGCTGGGGGCGTGGGCAATAACTGATGCGGACGTCGGTGTGACCCTCCGTGTATGTGAGTGCCGACAGCCCTGTGTTTGTTGTCCGCCGTTTCTCCCGTAATAACCCCTACACATGTAGTGTTGTAAAGGACGGACTTCTAAACTTCTTTATGGCACACACTGTTTATTATCTTAATACACAGTCCCTATCACACAAAGGGGGTATATGGTCCCCTCACCCGTTACCCTGAGGAGACACAGCCTCCGGACCTTGCAGGCTATCTAATCTCCCTGCTATCCCAGCGTCCTCTGGCTGGACCTAGGGGATCTCTCCCCGACCACTGGTTACACTGAGCCCTAGCCCTGACAAGGGCTGGAGGGCTTGGTCCAGGGTCCTAGATGTCTTCAGCCGACTTGGGTCTTCGTGTAGCAGAACTGGCCAAGAGCTTTCAGCGCTCTGGCTTTTATACCTGTTCGTGGCCGGGTTGTCCAATCCCCGGCCACCTTGTGGGACCCTCCGATTGGTCCTTCCCAATCTGGCGTTTGGATCCTACCTCACCCCATTTGACCCTGACCATTTGATTGAGCGGGAAAACCTTGTTTACGATCCGCTCTCTCACAGTTTGCGAACAGCGAGTAGTTAACACCACTACACATACACAACAACAACAATAACCGCCATTTGCCACTAACTGGCGGTGACATCACCACGGCGCTTGTACCAGGCTATGTGCACGTTAAGGCCACGTGCAGTGTCAAATGCTTGCTGACAGGAGGTCTCACGGGACAGGCCCAGCAGGTGCCGTGGGTCGACTAACTGAGATGACCGGTAGATGCACCACCATCCGTACTCCCTACTGTGCCAGGCTAGGTGCAGGAGGTCTCGGGACAGACCCAGCAGGTGCCGTACATCGACTGACTGAGATGACCGGTAGATGCACCACCATCCGTACTCCCTACTGTGCCAGGCTAGGTGCAGGAGGTCTCGGGACAGACCCAGTAGGTGCCGTGGGTTGACCGACTGAGACGACTGGCAGATGCACCACCACCTGTGCCCCCCCCCCCTACCGTGCCAACTCGCTGTGCTTTAGCCCCACCCGGCCCTCCGCTCGTTGTCGCGTGTCCATGTTGACTGGCTGTGTCCCCGCGGCTCGTGCGGCTCCTCCTGCGCCCACGTGGGCAGGCTCACGCTGTGCGACCTCGCCGGCTCGGAGCGCTCCAACAAGACGCAGGCCACGGGCCAGAGGCTCAAGGAGGCCAACAACATCAACGGCTCCCTGCTGACGCTGGGCCGCTGCCTGCAGGCCCTGAGGGCCAACCAGGAGGCCAGGTAGGCGAGGCGGCGGGCCTGCGGCGGCCTTCTTTGTAACCTCTGCGGTGACCCCTGCGGCGTTGCCGTGGTGGTGACCTCCCGCCGCTCGTCCGTCGGTGCCCGCTCTGTCGGGGGGGGGGGGACGGGGGGGCATTGCGGTGGCGAGAAAAAGCTGCATAGCTCAGTTGCGGCCTTAGGTGGTAAAATAAGAAATTGTTAATTAATAAAAAAGACATTACATTTTAATGTACAGGTGCTTCAAAAAAATGTTGACACTTACGTGGGACTATCGTTTTTAATGGAAAAAAAACTGATAATAAATACACTGTAACATGGTAACAGAAGTATGTTCATAGCTTCAAAAAATTCAAGGAGTCTCCACGTGTTCACCATCATTGTGAACGCGTGCCTGGAAACTTCTCCAGGTGGTCTCCAGAGGCCGGAGGCGGCACATTTCTCGTGGTGTTGTTGCAAATTCTCGGAAGTGTTAACATTTTTTTGAAGCACATTATATTTAATTTACTTGGTGGGGGTTGCGAGGGACAAGGGGGGGGGGGTAGTTGACCGTTGGGCCCCCTCTATCGCTTCGACGCCGTCCAGGAAGCGCCGATCTCACCCAGCGCCGGACTCCTGCGTGTGGCAGGGCGGGCGACGGTGGCGGTGGTGGTGGCGGTGGTGGCGGTGGTGGTGCCCCCAAGGCGCCGGTCCCCTTCCGGGAGAGCCGCCTGACGCGCCTCTTCCAGTCGGCGCTGCTGGGCGGCGCGCGTGTCCTCATGGTGGCGTGCGTCAGCCCCTGTGCCTCCACGCTGCACGAGACGGCGCACACCCTCGCCTTCGCCGCCCTCGCCCAGCAGGTGAGCTGCACGCTGCTCCCACCCGACCCGACCCCCCGACCCCCCCTTCCACCACCTCGAATCGTCGAGCGGATCGACGATTGAAGGTCGAGTCCGCCTCTGAACTGCAACCGGTTGCCTCAAACTGCTCCCTGCAACCGGTTGCACCAAACTGCTCCCTGCAACCGGTTGCACCAAACTGCTCCCTGCAACCGGTTGCACCAAACTGCCCTCTGCAACCGGTTGCAAACTGTTCCCTGCAACCAGTTATACCAAAATGCCCTCTGCAACCGGCTGCAAAAAACTGCTCCCTACAACCGGTTGCACCAAACTGCTCTCTGCAACCAGTTGCGCCAAGCCTGAGGCCTAACCCCTGCGAACTCTGTGTGTCAAACCACGAGCACTGACCCAACCAACGCCCCGTGACCCCCCCCCCCCACCCCCCATTTATACGCCAAGGTGGTGAGATGTTAAGCAGTCCTTAAAAGAGCCGCATGCAGCGCTGAGATGTTTACTACCTCGCCTGGTATGCAGGAGGTCGTGGCTTCCATCCGGACTCTGACGCCTTCCGTGTCTCTCTCCCCGTGGTCGTGTGGATTTTTCTTCGGGTTCCTCCGGTTTTCCCATCCACATTTAGAATCAACATCGCTCGTTTTAGAGCATTTGGCTGCTGTGCATTTCCATCTGATGATGATAAGCCACTTCGTTGAACTATCATTTGTCAATACCAGGTCAGAGCTACATAGCTCAGTGGGCCTTACCTGGTGAAATAATAAGAGTTTAGCTTCATAAAGAGTTTAGTTGAGGTACCCATGTCTGTGACCCCGTGACCCCCTCCACTGATACCCATGATTTTTTAATTTTTAATTGTATTTAACTTTTATTAATTGAAATTAAAAAAATTTTACCTACGTGACTTTACCGAAAAAACCTAAGAATATGAATCTTTGCAGTCACGAAAGCTTCAAATCTAGAATTGATACCCATGACTCCGTGACCCGCGTCCACTCCAGGTGGTGAGCGTTGCGAGCCAGGAAGCCATCAGCGTGAGGGTCAGGGGGTCGGTGCGGGGAGGCTCAGCGGGAGCAGCAGCAGCAGCAGCAGCAGGAGGAGGTCTCCCCAGCAACAGCGGTGACGACAATGAGGAGGAGGAGGATGAAGAGGTTGACTTGTCGTCGGACGATGAGATCGATGTTGAGGTCTGTATGCGGCCTGTGCGGTACTAATTCTGCCCGCGAGTTGCGTGTATGTGTGGATAAACTTCTTTCGCAGCGTACATAGCCAACCGTGATTATCGGAGGTGCGGGGGGAAGGACAACAAACTAAAACATAAAAAGCAGTTCCAAAGAAATTAGCTTTCAATCTAAATTTAAAAGTGCATAGCTCCAGTGGCTTACTAATATCCCAAAGGAAGAGTGTTCCAGACGGCCGCGGGAGCACATCTGAAAGCGCGCGATGCGGTGGCCACCGTCCTTGTTTGATGGCCGAGTCAAAAGCTGCCGCTGCGAGGATTACCGGAGTTTGCGTGATGATGGTTTATGCTCCTTGACGAGATCGGCAACGTATCGTGGTTCATTTGTGGCAAGCACTTTGTGTGTAATTAGTGCGACCTCGTAATGCCCTGATGACGCTCGGCTCTGACCCCTGCAGGCCCTGGTGGGGCTGGTGTCGCGCCTCCGCGGGCGCGTGGTGGCGGAGAGCGCGGCCCGCAATCGCGCCGAGCGGCAGGCGCGAGAGGAGGTTGCGCGAGACGCCATGACGCACCTGCGGCAGGTGGAGGCGCTGTGGAGGTGGGCGACTCTGGTTGGCCGATTGACACCTTCGTGCGCAGAGGACCGCAGAGCTTGGGCGAATGTTGGTAGCGCCGGCTCGTCGTCCACCACCGTGTGGCTGCTGCTGCTGCTGCAGTTTTGCTATATTCTTAGGTTTTTTCGGTAAAGTCACCGAACCTCACAAAAATAATATTCAGGGCCCACCTTGGCTCCTCCCACCCTCAACCAGTATATATACAAGGACTGTTTTCTTGGAATTTCTCTCACTTGAAACAGCTATCGTGCTGTGACGGTTCCACCTGAAGACGGAAGCTTGTGTTGCCTCCGAAACGTCGTGATTTTTATTTTATTTTAATTTTACTTTTATTAATTTAGTAAAATTTTTTTATCTACGTGACTTTACCGAAAACACCTAAGAATATGAATCCTTGCAGTCACGAAAGCTTCAAATCCTGCCTCTTTGCTCTTGGACTGTGGTTCCTCCTTCTGGTGCCTCCGAGTCGCTCCTTCTCTCTCTCTCTCTCTTTACGAGAGCGAGGAGCGGACACCCCGGTGCCGGTGGAGTGCCGCCGCAGCCCTCTGAAATCTCCAACTCAATCTCGAGGAGGGCGGTGGGGGGCGGAGGCAGGGGGGAGGCCCCTTTGTCGGCCCTGTGTTGGCCCTGCCCAAGTTCAGGCCTTGCCCAGGGGCAGGCCTGGCCCTGCCCAGGCCCTGCCCAGGCCCTGCCCAGGCCCTGCCCAGGCCCTGCCCAGGCCCTGCCCAAGTTTAGGCCCTGCCCAAGTTCAGGCCTTGCCCAGGGGCAGGCCCGGCCCTGCCCAGGCCCTGCCCAGGCCCTGCCCAAGTTTAGGCCCTGCCCAAGTTCAGGCCTTGCCCAGGGGCAGGCCCAGCCCTGCCCAGGCCCTGCCCAGGCCCGGCCCAGGCCCTGCCCAGGCGGTGCCTAGGCCATATCTAGGCCCGGCCTAAATCCTCACCGGTGGTGGCTGTGTGTGTGTCCCACCCCCCCCCCTTAACCCCCTACCCCACACCACAGCCAGCGGCTGGAGGCCGAGCGGCAGGCGTGTGAGGAGCGCTGGGAGGAGCGCCTGCGGCTCTACACGGACGCCATGCGGCGGTTTGCGTGCCGGAGTGCGGCGACGGCGCTGACGCCGCCCGACCCCGGCTACTCTGACGGTGATTTTTACTTTTCTTTTTTATTTTTCAACACTCAGCGCTGTGGAGGCAGCAGCGAGGAGGGTTGGTGGTCACCGCGCGCAGATGGGGTTGTGAAACTCCCTCTCTATCCCGTGGGTGGGCGTCAAGGACGAGCCGTGCCCCTGGTTCTGCCAGGAGAGGGGCGGTACTCGGAAAAAATGTGAACTCCACCTGTTCCGTCTGTACGGGGATAGAACGTTGCCCCCTTGCACACACGCATGAGTTTTCTCCGGGCACTCCGGTTTCCTCCCACATGTAAATGCTTAATAACGGACTTGGCCAGACATATAATTTGTTTAATCTAATATATGTTTCTTAACAAATATACATAGGACAGCAGAGCTTGGAAAATTAGTAGTGGCTCCAGCTCACCACCTGGCTACTACCTTTCCCCTCGTCCATGGTTTCTCCTCCTGGTGTCTCTCCTCAAGGGCAGGGTCGAGTGAATATCGTGCGGCGCGTTGAAAGTGTTCTTGTCGTCATTATCATCATCGTCGTTGTGATATTGCGCTGCTGTGGACAGGGAGAGAGGAGCAGTACAGCGGCGTGGAGCCAGAGAGCCTGGAGGAGGCCCGGAAGGTGAGTAGATCATTGCTGCACGCACACGCACACACTGACTTGCCCAACTCGGGACAAGTCTCTGTGAGACCGGATCCTCAGGATCTCTGGATATCTGGAGATTTTGGGATTTTAAGATTTCAGAATGTCTAGGAGCTCGGGATCTCAAGATCTCAAGATCTCAGGATGTCTAGGATCTTGGTATCTCTAGGATCACCAAGATCTTGGGATCTTGGGCCGCAAGCAGTGGGCTGCGATTGGTGGGCTGTGATTGGTGGGCTGCGATTGGTGAACTGTGATTTGGTGGGCTGCGATTGGTGGGCTGCGATTGGTGGGCTGCGATTGGTGGGCTGCGATTGGTGGGCTGCGATTGGTGGGCTGCGAATTGGTGGGCTGCGATTGGTGGGCTGCGATTGGTCGGCTGCGATTGGTGGGCTGCAATTGGTGGGCTGCGATTGGTGGGCTGCGATTGGTCGGCTGCGATTGGTGGGCTGCGATTGGTGGGCTGCGATTGGTGGGCTGCGATTGGTGGGCTGCGATTGGTGGGCTGCGATTGGTGGGCTGCGTTTGGTGGGCTGCGTTTGGTGGGCTGCGATTGGTGGGCTGCGATTGGTGGGCTGCGATTGGTGGGCTGCAAGCCGTGGGCTGTGATTGGTGGGCTGCGAGCAGTGGCCCGTGACTGGTAGGCCTCGAGCAGCGGGCTGTGATTGGTGGGCTGTGATTGGTGGGCTGCGATTGGTGGGCTGCGATTGGTGGGCTGCGATTGGTGGGCTGCGATTGGTGGGCTGCGAGCAGTGGGCCCGCTCCTGGTGGGCCCGCGAACCTGGCCACTCGCTGACGCATGCGACGGCCTGCAGGTGATCGTGCACCTGCGGCGTGAGAACGCGCGGCTGGCGGGCCTCCTGCAGGGCGGGACCGGGCACCCGCTGGGCCCCGTTGCGGTCCCTCCGTCGTCGTCGTCGTCCCTGCCACTGCCGCGCTGGGCCGGTGGGGGAGCCGGCCCCCTGCTGGGCCCCATCCACGAGCTTCTGTGCCCCTCGCAGGAGGAGGGGGAGGAGCGGCAGGAGGAGGGGGGGTCCCCACGGGCCGTGCCCACGGGGGCCCTCGGGGCGGTGACGCTCCACCTGAGGCCGTCGCCTCGCAAACTCGTCCCCTCACCAACAAGCGAGCCGCCGGACTGCTGCTGACGGGACGCTGCCGAATGTGGAGTCCGGTTCCCCCAACTCCCTTCCCGGACGCTCGTGAGGGGGGTCTGGGCTGTGACGGCACTTTTTAAAAATAGTTTATAGGGGTCGGTTAAGGTTCGATGGAGTTTGATATTTTGAACGGTTCCTTTAACGAGATGTTACTGCCAAGTATTCTCGTGGTTGAATTAAAGTTTGATTTGTGTGTTTTTTAAACCGTCTCCTTCAAAGACGCGTATGTGTGTGTGTGTACGTTCTGGCGGGTTGTCAAAAGTAACCAATGTCAATAAAAAGTTCAGAATCTTGAACGCCCGTCCTAAATCTGCGTCGTTTTTATTAAAATCTAACGCCGTGCTACGGATTTACCATGAAGTCGTCCTCAGGTGGACGAGACGCAGCGTCCAAGTCGATCATCGTCATCACTTGGTTCGACGGGAGATGAGGCCCAATTCCATTTTATGAGCAAATCACTTAATTCGATAATTTACCATTGGCGAATCGCTCTTCTGGAACGAGCCCTGATTGGTCAAGCGAAATTGGCCACTGGCTGACCGCTGTTCTGGGACGATTCCTGATTGGTCAGGCAGAATTGGCAATCGGCTGGTCACTTTCCTGGGACGATCCCCGATTGGTCCGTCGGAACGGCCACTGTTGATCAATGAGCGTTGGATTGGCTGGTGGTAATTCGAACGGTATTCAGGCGAGAGTGTGTTGCTGACGGTTGAGAGAAGGTTCAAGAAACGAGGGACAGGATATGAACTAATTTCCCAAGCTCTGCTGCCTTTATATATTAAGATTGTCGGTCAATTAATGAGCGTTTATACGTGTGGGGAAAAAAAACCCACGGGTGCGTGCGAGGGGGAAACGCTTTATCCCGTATAGACGGAACGGGTGGAGTCCACGCTGTTTCTGTGCCGCCTTCTACCTGGCAGAGCCAGGTCGACGGCTCCTCCTCAACACCCACCCACGGAGTGGAAGGGAGTGTGGAATAGATGGAGATTAGTCCACACACGTTGCTGTGCCGCCTTCTGCCTGGCAGAGCCACGGGGTGGAAGGGAGTGAGATGGAACAGATGGAGATTAGTACACACACTTTGCTGTGCCGCCTTCTGCCTGGCAGAGCCACGGGGTGGGAGGGAGTGATATGGAACAGATGGAGATTAGTCCACACACTTTGCTGTGCCGCCTTCTGCCTGGCAGAGCCAGGTTTACGGCTCCTAGACACCCACCCACGGGTGGAAGGGAGGGAGTTTCATACAACAACATCATCTCTGTGTGTGCGGTGATCCAGCAACCCTCGCTGCTGCTGCTGCCCCCACAGTGCTGGATCGCAGACAGCCACGTGCATATAGTCACCACCGCCACCACCTTTCCACCACCACCTCCACCACCACCTCACATTAATTTGAACCCATGCTCCCAGGTTGATCCAAGCTGCTGTTGATAGCACGTGGTCCGGTTGCCAGGGCGTGAGGTCCGGTTGTCAGGGCCAGGAGTCCGGTTGCTAGGGCCCTGGGTTCCGTCTGTATCATTCTCCGGGTCACGTGACACGCCCGGCGCCGTCAATAGCAACCAATCAGCTCGCGCGCGTGCAGATTCCGTACGGGCATCGTCACGTGACGTGGGTTGTGGGTGAACTCGCCAGTGCTGCACGTCACGTGGCTCCACTGGAGAAGCGCGTCACGCCTCGAATTCGCACGCGTGCCGCCCTTGACGAGGGCCCCATCCGCCGCTCAACGTTTTGACGCTGCGGGCCTCTGCATGCCCCCCCCCCCGCTCTGCCAATCAACCAATCAGTGGAGATCGGCTCTCAGAGCACCACCGACACGTGACGTCCAGGTGTGGCTAATCACACTAATTAGCTAATCACACTAATTAGCCCATCATCTCTCGCGCTGGGGACGCGAGCGTTCGGGCAGTCCGTGCTTGCGCGTGATGATGATGGCAGCAGCGATGATGATGGTAGCAGCGATGATGATGATGATGGCAGCGATGATGATGATGGCAGCGATGATGATGATGGCAGCAGCGATGATGATGATGGCAGCAGCGATGATGATGATGTCAGCAGCAGCGATGATAGATGGCAGCAGCGATGATTATGATGATCATGGCAGCAGCGATGATGATGATGGCAGCAGCGATGATGATGATGATGACAGCAGCGATGATGATGATGATGGCAGCAGTGATGATGATGATGGCAGCAGCGATGATGATGATGGCAGCAGCGATGATGATGATGATGATCAGCAGCTCGATGTCCCAGTGTGGATGTCCTCTTGCTGCTGCTGCTGCTCCTGGCCACGACGAGCGGACTTCAGCAGAGAGAGGAGAGAGACTTCGTGTCGTGTCTCTCTTCCTCCTCCTCCTCCGTTTGAAGGCGCGCAGAACACAGTGGGGTTGTACCATGAGGTCTGTACGGGTCTCTATGAGCCTATGCATATCTACGTGTCTCTGTGGGTTCACTCTGTGGTCCATAGTTTGGGTTGCATGTCCACAATGGCGCGCGACTGTGGCTGTCTAGAACGTGTTCATTGTCTGGGTGGCGAGATTCTCGGCAGGGTGACAGCGGCAGCAGCAGCAGCGGGCGCGATCCTCCGAAGCAATGGGGGCGAGTCGGTGGTGATGATCGTCGAGGTGGTCGAGTCGGTGGTGATGATCGTCGAGGTGGTGGTGAGGAACGCCGTCGGTGTTGTCAGCTGACGACGGAGGGGGAGGGGGGAGGGAAGTGAGGGGGGTAGGGGAGGGGAGGAGGGAGGGAGGGAGGAGAGGGAAGGGGGAGGGGTAGGGGAGGGGAGGAGGGAGGGAGGTGAAGGGGGTAGGGGAGGGGAGGGAGGGAGGGGAGGTTGTCGTTTTGTCGAGGAACGCCACGAGCAGCGCCGTGGAGCGGCTGGGACCACCTCCATCGCCGTCCTCCTCCTCCTCGCTAATTGGGCTTCATTGGCGCGTGGCGCGGCGATTGCTTGATTGGGGAGATGATAAAGGTGACGAGAGGAGGGGGGGGGGCACTCGAGCGCCGATTCGCCTCGACCCCCCCCACCCCCCCGTCACATCGCTCCATCGCCGCGTCTTTGTCCTCCTCCCCCACTGCTCTCGTCACCCCCCGGGGTGCGGCTCCCCTCCTGCCGCTTGTGAGCTCTACGATCTTCTGCTTCCTCTTCTTCCTTCTCCTTCTCGTCGTTGTCGTCGGCAGCATCCTTTCCCGGTCTCCGTCAGCTCGTGCGCCTCGTCTCGCGTCTCAACCTCATCGCGTCCGCCTCCTTCACCCCCCCTCCTCCTCCTCGTTGTTTTTGGCTCCATCTCCTCCTCCGCCTCGCGTCTCCTCCTCCACCCACCACCTCTCTCCACCTCGTGCCGAGCCCATGGGTCGCGAGTCTCGCCGCTGGGCCACGCGGACGCACGGCTCCCGGCGCGCTCGCGTGACGGTGGAGGCAGATGGAGGTGACGGAGGTGGTGGACACGCGGTCTCCCTGCGGGGCCTGCTGGTGACGCTGGTTCTGGGGCTCTCCGCCTGCTGGGCCGGGCGTGCGCGGTGGTGCAGCGCGTGGCGAGCTGGCTGGGTGGCCTCCTCCTCCTCCTCTTCGTTCGCGGAGCAGAGGACGACGCGACGAAGAAGAGGTGGGACGTCTTTAGCTCGCCCCCTCTCCCCCCCGCCACTGGGGAGACAAAGACGGCCGGGCGTGGCACTGGCCACCCCCACCACTTCGCGTGCTGTGGCTGTCTCCATAGGTGCTGCTACTCGCTGACGGCACAAGCAGTCTGTGGCCGTCTGGAACGCTCGTCTAGATTGAAAACTCATGACTTTAGAACTGCTTTAGTTTGCCGGACGTAAAAGTTTTACATCAACGCTGCCCATAGACTCAACGCTGCCCGTAGACTAAACGCTGCCCGTAGACTAAACGCTACCCGTAGACTCAACACTACCCATAGACTCAACACTACCCGTAGACTCAACACTGCCCGTAGACTCAACGCTGCCCGTAGAC